TCAAACTCGTCAAACACGTCAAACTCGTCAAACTCTCTGATTTGGCGAATTTATCAATTGCGAACCACGAAAATGTTAATAAGCACCTCGTATAACAAATTTGATAAGTAAATAATAATCGCATCTATCTAAATTTAGCACCTTATTTTGTGTAGCAATGCATATTCCCCCAAACGAAATCCTAATGTTCTATTACACTTTATGTTACACATTGGTCTAGGGTAGAATTTATCATTTTCCCAGATGCTCTCCTTATAACAAAAACACGTTCAATACGTCATAATAGACCCTGTACACAACTTTGAACCATCGGAATATCATTTTGACCATAGGTTGACCGGTTGACTCGTCAAACACGTCAAACTCGTCAAACTCTCTGATTTGGCGAATTTATCAATTGCGAACCACGAAAATGTTAATAATTAGCACCTCGTATAAAAAATTTGATAAGTAAATAATAATCGCAGCTATCTAAATTTAGCACCTTATTTTGTTTAGCAATGCATGTTCCTCCAAACGAAACCTTAATGTTCTATTACACTTTATGTTACACATTGGTCTAGGGTAGAATTTATCATTTTCCCAGATGCTCTCCTTATAACAAAAACACGCTCAATACGTCATAATAGACCATGTACACAACTTTGAACCATTGGAATGTCATTTTGACCACAGGTTGACCGCGTTGACTCGTCAAACACGTCAAACTCGTCAAACACGTCAAACTCGTCAAACTCGTCAAACATGTCAAACTCGTCAAACTCTCTGATTTGGCGAATTTATCAATTGCGAACCAAGAAAATATTAATAAGCACCTCGTATAACAAATTTGATAAGTAAATAATAATCGCAGCTATCTAAATTTAGCACCTTATTTTGTGTAGCAATGCATGTTCCCCCAAACGAAACTCTAATGTTCTATTACACTTTATGTTACACATTAGTTTAGGGTAGAATTTATCATTTTCCCAGATGCTCTCCTTATAACAAAAACACGCTCAATACGTCATAATAGACCATGTACACAACTTTGAACCATCGGAATGTCATTTTGACTACAGGTTGACCACGTTGACTCGTCAAACACGTCAAACTCGTCAAACACGTCAAACATGTCAAACTCGTCAAACTCAGAAATCCCTAACATGAAACCCCGAATGCGTGTTACGACTTTGACCAGTGTTATGAGTTGATTAGTGTTTACGATGAGTTTGACGAGTTTGATCAGTTTGACGACTGTTTTTACCATATAATACACGAGTGAATTAGTCCAAATATGATTTGATAATGTCATTACATGCACGAACATAATATTATGACTCATACGTCTGTGATATCATTGATGTACTAACAGAACCTACCGAACATGATTTTTTTTTTCGAGTCTCACCAGGTCCAGAAAATCGGTTTTGTTTAAACCTTCCACTTACTCGTTTTTCTTCCACTATAAGCGGCAATACCACTACATCTACGTTTATTGGATGAGTTTTTGGAGATTTCACTTGTTTCTTGCAGCAAATTTACCAAAAAATCGTGCTGGAGAAGAGATATTCAAGAGAGAGAAGAAGAAAAACTCGAAGAGAGAGAATGCGATGTATGGCGGGAGACAACGATAAAGAGGAGAGAGAAAATGAGTAAAAAGTAGATCTATATTTTATTTATTTTAGTATATTATAATATTATATAAATAACGGAAGGGTATTATAGGGATTCTACATTTATAAGGGTATATTTGATGTTGCCGTTTTTTTGTTACTGTGCGAGGGTATGGGCTGTAAGTGAAATCGACATTTAAGGGTATTTTTGCAATTGCCCCCATTGATGGCTCTGACCACGACTTCTCTCAGAATCTCCGAACCCGAAATCGAGTGGTCAGTTTGGGAGAGAGGTTGAACGTGAAGAGAGAACATGTCCAAGAACATCCACACGAGTCCGACTGACCCAAAGCCCGATATTTAAACAGAAAAAAAAAATAAAATTTACAAAAAAATTTATACGGACCGGTCTGACCTAGTCCGACCTAAACCCGGTATATATAGGACCGGACATCGAATTTAACTACATAGATCCGAAAAAAATCGGATGGATCCGAACACGAATCCTTAGAACTGAATGCAAACTCGGACCGGATCAGACATTGACACCCCCTACCCTTAACGGTGGATAATGGTTAAAATGGCACTTTGTAACAGTTTAATTTTGGATTAAAATAATATATTTTGCACTCCTTTCTTGTAACGGCTTGGGATGAATGCGACGTGTCGCAATACGGGTCCTTCATAGTCAACATAAGCCAGACAACTGTAATGTCCGAAGCCCACGTGTCGTGTCGACCACGTCATCTCCGAACCCAAACCTCAATCCTCGTACTTTACTTAACCCATTCATTTATCCCCCCAAAACAGTAAAAAAGAAAAGAAAATGGCTCAGAAACAGCCACAGAGGCCAAGAGATGAAGATCTCAGGCCACACGAGCCAATCAAATACGGCGACGTTTTCAACGTCTCCGGCGAGCTGGCAGGTAAACCAGTCTCTCCACGGGACGCGGCCACCGTCCAGGCGGCCGAGACGGCCATGATGGGGAAGACCCTGAAAGGCGGTCCAGCTTCTGTGATGCAGTCGGCGGCCAACTTCAACGTCGGAGCTGGTTTGTTGTCTCCCGACCACGACTCCGAAGATGTGGCCAGGCAAAAAGGTGTTAGCTTCTCTCAGTCCGAGGATCGGGGGAGGTCATAACCGAGTCGATTGGTGGCCAGGTACATCTCTACCTACACCTTTCATGTTCCCGATGGCCAGCTTGATGTATTGGTCCATCCCGGCTAGGTAGTCTCGCTCGACGCAACAGTTAACCACCACCATTAGCGCTTGCCGGATGTCATCTGGAAGTGCCTAAGTGTAATAATGTCCATTTACAGAGAAGAACAGAGGCATTATCCACCAGTTTCAAGAGCTTAACTGACCATCATCTTATTCATGAAGACTATATGCTATATCTACGACTCATATTTATATATATCTTCTCATGATGGATTTAGAGAACGGATTCACTCTCTGCCTAACATCGCCCGAAAGGAACAATGCGGAAGCAGAAAGCCCCTAACTCTAACAAACAGGTTCTAAAACCGATATGAAAACCTAACACAGAAAACCTAACATATCTTGTGGCTCCGGTGGCACAAGGGAAAGATCCGGAGGGAAAGATGAGAGGCGGCACAGTGACCATTGGGGAGGCGTTGGAAGCGACGGCTATATCGATTGGTGATAAGCCGGTGGACCGTAAGGACGCAGCCGCTATTCAGACAGCTGAAACCAGAGCAACTGGTGGTAAGACTGTGCCTGGCGGTGTTGCGGCCACTGCTCAGGCTGTCGCCACGTTGAACGAACGGAACATCGAGAGCAGAGTCACTATATCCGACGTTCTCACTGTAATGCCGATAACAAAAACAGTTTCAAGAGTAGAATTCTTGATTTGGGTTGAAGGGTTTTGCGTAATGTGGTATATCGTTTTCATTGGATACGGCAGGATGCCATGGATAAGCTTCTGAGGGACAGAGCAGTGACGGTTGATGATGCGGAAGCAGTGGTTGGGGCGGAGCTCAGGAACAGTCCCGCGATGAAGACAACACCTGGAGGAGTGGCTGATTCCATGTCCGCAGGGGCAAGACTGAACCAACAGCCCTAGAACTCGTTCAGGACAGCTTATCCATGAGCTTCTTCTACAGTACACACTGAAAAGAGTTTGTTGAACGTTGTCAGATTGAAAATTTCAGTTTTCACTGAATAACGTTCTTGTTGGACAGCTCTATAGGTTGGTAGTTTTAGTTCGTCTCTCTTTGCAAGTTACTTGCAAATGTAAATAATCAACAAACAAAAGGTTACATCGGATAAATCATGGAGTAAAAAATGCAGTCAATTTACTACTGAGCCTACAAAGGAAGACCAACACAACCAAACCACATCAAAAACACTAAACAGTGGCCATATCATGTCATATCATATCATCCAAAGGACCAAATCACAAGCAGTTCTCAAGCAATAATAGAAGCATTGAACATAGAGAAGCACCAATTACCAAATAGGTCCGAGGCTATCAAGCATCGGTTCCATCTGTCTTTGCACCAAAAGGGTCATGACTTGGTCCGACATCCTGTCCGATGTGACGCTGCACAAGCCGCTGCAGGTCAGACATGACCTTGGCCTCACGCTTAGCCTTTTCTTCGTAGTTGAACATCGCCAATGCACGTTTGTCTTCAGCACTGTAGACCTGGTTTTCCTTTCTTATACGTATGGCATTCATCCTTTGATGCCTACTTCCACTCATCACATACCCAAGATCCTCAAACTTCTGGATTTCGTCAGCGCTAAGACCCACTTCTCCTCTTCGCGGGATACGCTTTCCTTGCTGCACATATTGTGCAATGGCGTCTCCTTCACCTGGCCTTAGAGCACCACCATAACTGATGTGCCCTTCAGCTTTCGGCAAGGGCATAGGCCCGACTGCCGGTTCGTTGTCCAGAGCTGGTTTCTTCTGTGACTCGATCATCTCCTTGAACTTTAACACCTCTTCATTGATTTCGGCCTGCTTCGCAGCTTCCTCTGCTTTTGCCTTTGAGTCAGAGCCTGAACCATCACTTTCGCTCTCTGATCCCCTTTTCTTTCCCTTGCTACGCTTGGAACTGGAAACAGAAGATTTCTTTCGCATCTTGCTCTTTGACTTGCCATGATCTTCATCAGACGATGAAGCACAGTTCTCAGATTCCTCTGTTGCGCTTTCTTCACGACTGCTCTCATCAGAGTCACTGTATCTCCTCCTTTTCCTCAGCCCCCGCCTTCTCTTACTACGGCTACTTTTGCTCTTTTTCTTCTTCGTGCTCTTCCTTCTCCGTCTCCTATCTTCCTCATCATCATCATCACCATCATCCGTGTAACTCTCGCTGTCTTCGGAATCACTAGCGCTATAAGATCTCTTACGCCTGCTCCGGCTCCTTAAGGTCTTACTTTTCCTCCTCCTCGACCTTGAATCATCCGACTCGCTCCTGGCCTCTGTATCAGATTCTGACTTACCCGAATCCGATTCAAACTCCGATTTCCCTTTAGCGTCATTCGCTTTCGGATTCGAAACCCGTCTTTCCCCGCCATCAAAGCCGTCCCAGTCCGGAGCCTCGACGGAGTTGTCATCGGAATTCTCGTTCGGATCTCTAGGAGGGCTCGGGGTGTTCTCCCAAAAGCAAGACCTCATCGACTTCCTCATCTTCAGCCTCTTCTGCCTCCTGTACTCCTCAAAGCTCAATCCTCTCAACTCTTCATCAGATTCAGAATCAGATCCTCTCCCGTTCCTGTAATCTCGATCCAAATACCCTCGATTCTTCCCAAACTTCCTCGGCAGTGAGTTCATCGTCATCTTCTCCGCAAACCTAAAGGGAAAAAAAATCAATTCTTCACGCACGATTCGGAAATTAGGGATTTGATTTGAGAATTGGGGATTTTAGATCGAAGGTCGGTGCCATTTTTGGTAACTCGGCCCAAGAAAAAACGTCGGTGACTCCGAGGATACCTTTGGTCCACCGTTCAAGCCCAAGAAAAATATCTGACCCTCCTTCTTTTTCAGCCCCATATAAAATTATTTATTTTAAAACGTGCCCCAAAGTTTAGTTAAATTCAATTGAGTCCTATACTTATCATCTTCTTCGGTATTCAAGTCCTGGGACTGGGAGGGAGGAAGTGGAAACGACACCGTCTAATTCTCCTGCATCTTCCGGGAAGATGGGAAGTCTCTTCATCTCCTCCATGGCGTTATCGCTGATTCCTCTTCGGACCCGTCTTACAATACCCAGTTCCCGGTCAGCCCTTCGCTTGTTCACCCTCGGACCATCGAAGATTCGGACGAAAGTCGGAGCTTTTGAGGGTGATAAGAGGGAGAGAAAGGAATCGATGTTCATCGACGAAAATGGCGCCATCGAGGACATGGAGGGTTACCTTGATTACCTCTCTCTCGAATACGACTCGGTCTGGGACACCAAACCCTCCTGGTATTTCTCTTCTTCCTTCTTTGTTTCAGTCGCCATTGAGTTTCTTTCTCTTCTTTTTTTTCTTTTTTTGCAGTAATTAGTGTAATTTGTTTTTCACTTATGGCTGTTAAGATGATTCTATGATCTGAATGCACATTCTCAGTTCCCTTCAGTTTGAATTGTGTCTGAAGAGTTTCGTTGGATTCATGACACTGGGAATCCAAGCGACATCCAAGTGCAGGATATGGTTACGACTGGTTAGAGTTTTGTTGGTGAAGTCAAGTTTACTTGAAATGGGTTATGTCTTAACCAAGTGAAAGTTTCACTTAATTTACCGACTTGGAAGCTGGTGAAACTTTCTCATAACTGTGTTTTTATGCATGAGATGGATTAAAAGAAATCTACTTTACCACTCATATCTGTGTTGGTTCTGTGTTCTCGGAAGATAAGTTTCAGGAACAAAGTTGAATGTTTTTCTGCCTAACAGAGAGGGGTTTCAGTACAACTTCAAGAATTCAAGGTGTAGGGCTCTCGGAATTCGGAAAATAGGTTGAATGTTTCTTGTGTCCAAGGAGAAAACAGAAGGCGTTTTTGGACATCGGAAGTTGTTGTTTGTGTAGTTGGGTTTGATGTAATCACTGAGAAACTGATGCTTTTGTTTGTGAGAGGAAATTGATGTGGTGGCAAATGCGAATGGTTGGTCAGGTGCCAGCCATGGACGATAACACTAACGGGCCTATTAGCGGTGGCGTGTAGCTGGGCGGTTGTGCGTTCGGTCTTAGTTACATCGCTTGTGGCTGGCTCCATAGGCGCGTGGTGGTTCCTTTTTCTTTACCTGTACCCAAAGGTATGTCTTTTTTTTTTATTCAGACACAGCACATTCATATCTACCCATCGTCTCCATCTCCAGGCAGGAGTGTTATGCGTTATTGTCTGCATAGCCATTGGCTTGAATTGGACCAATACACTGTTCCCTGTTTGTATGGTTGATACTTCGTTTGTTTTGGTCGGATCCAGTCGTATTCGGAAATGATTGCTGACAGAAGGAGAAGAGTAGCAGATGGTGTTGAAGACACTTTTGGCCAAAAGAAGAACTTGTAAATCTCTCTCTCTCTCTCTGTAAAAAAAAAGGGAGAGAAGAGAACTTTTACTGCAGTACATTGTTAATTCTCACCTTCAACACAATGTGTTCTTCTGTGAAAAGAGCAGTTACCTAACTGAAGTATTTCTTTGTAAATTCATTCTCTTTGATACAAAATTTTGGGGAAAAAAACGATATAAAAAACCTCTGGAGCAAAAAAAAAAAAAAAAAAAAAAACCGAACCAGAGAAACTTGTTCACTACAAAACAATCACCCATTCAGTAGGGTACAAGACGAACATCGAATTTGACGGAAACAACAACAGTGAGAAACACACGGAAGTACCGAAGATAGCGATGACGACGCCGCGGCCGTCGTACTCGGGATGAGCTTGGAGGAAGCGGGAAAAAAAAAAAAAAAAAAAAAAAAGGCTTGGGGTAGACAAATAATATCTCTACAAAATAGAATATGAGCAGAGCTGTTAGGTATTTTTTTCTAATTTTTCATCATCATCACCGTCCAGAGTTGTTGGAATCACTGCTGCTATCCTCTTCATACTCTGTCTCCATGCCACTGCCACTGCCACTGCTTGAGGAGCTGCTGCTTCCCGAAGTTGTTGTATCCATATCATCAAGCCCACCATTGATGCTGGCGTCAAAGGCCATTCAAGATTTTACATTCTCAACCCCCTTGAACTGAACTCAACAGTAATATCGATCGTTAAAGGCGCTAAAGTTTAAACCTTCACCTCGGGGGAAAGTCTGCCACTATTCTGATTTCGGGCCTCTCCTCCTTCAGCTTCTCCAAAGGAAGGCTATATATACACACACACCGAGAGAATTAGGGGGCTTGTCGAAACAGGCATGCATTAAAAACCAAAACGATGCTGAGGATCATTACTCTGGCGGGCAAGATCTCCATCCATCTTCTGTATCTAACCCGTCACAGTTTGACACATTCTGTGGAAAAGAGACAGAAGCAGAGGAGGATTTGGTAAACCGGGTTGCCTATCACATTATTGCAAATTCAGAACAAACCCAGGCTTTTAACAAATTCCATGTCCACTTACAATATGCCGGATGAACTTGAAGTCCCCTTCGAGTACTGACGTTAGAAACTCGACAACTTCCTCCTGCAAGTTATAAGATCCAGGGTCAGAAGAGAGAAAGAGGGGCATAAATAAACATATCAACTTTCATCCTTACCTCCATTAGCTCTAGGCAGTCCCGCAGTATTAGAGTCTCCAGTACACAGTCTCTTCGTCTGTCACCCAACTCCCTGTCAATAATTTCAATTTACCAGAAAGAGCAAAGCAGAACACCTAATTCAGTACGAAAAGCGGTATCTAATATGAATGCCACTCGTAGATTGAGGAAGTATCGAGATTCCTGTTTGCTCAGAATAACGCCAACCTCAAAAAGCTGCCAGTGACCGATGATTCAGAGAGATCAAGACATTTGAGTTTGTGAAAACCCTGCAGATATCAAAGAAATTTCATTAACTTGAATACGCTAAAATATCAAGATTCAATGTTCAGCAACTAGTTTGCCTAAGAAACCTTGTATCACAACGAATTCAGGAATGTTGCCGAAATTCCATGGAGTTATCAGATATAGAGATTATCAAACCCGTTCATAGTCTCGTCTCTCGTGATAAATACCTCAAGAAAAATCCGTGCTTCAGTGTCTTCTAGATCAAAACCTCTGAGTGCTAATGAAGACAGGTCATTACAATTGGCCACGAAATCTTTACAGAGTGACGCCTCAAAACTGCAACCTGGAGGAAGCAGGTCAGCTAAGACAAATTTTGGGGCACAGAATGAAGGGAGCACTGCTGCGGGAAAAAACGAACCTAGTCTCCAAACATCAAAGAAGAGACGAACTATCAAGGGACAACATCTCGTCACTGCCTCTAATACCTGATCCAGTTCACCATAGCTGTGCACGACGAAAAGAAGACAACAACAGAACAAAAGGCCGTGTAAAAGTAACAAAAGGAAAATCTTGCAAAAGGAATGAAGAAACTAAATATGTCAGGTAGAGAAGTAATACAAAGAAGAATAGACAATAGAGAAAGCAGAGAAAAAGATGCATCCAAGCAACCTTAGGAAAAACAAAAATGCTCAGAAACTCGCAGAAATGCAAAATGGTCTACAGCAGCTCAGTAGACTTACAAGCCAGCAATCTTCAGATCGGTGAGGTTTTGACAAGCCGATAACGCACAGCATAAGGATGTGGCATCCATCAAATCGATATTGTAAATGTGTAGTCTCCTCAATAGTTTCCTTTTTGTTATGGAAAAATAGAATGCCAATCAAAAGACCAAGCGCAGAAACGATACTGTAAACATCCAATAGCACTGTTTCCCAGCATAAATGAATAAGGGTGTAAAACGGGCTGCCCAGCCTGCCCCAGCCCGTTCCGATCACAGATTTTTTTAGTCTAGCCCAGTTCGGCCTGTTTTTTGGCGAGCCAAAAAATACTTGATTCAACCCGACTCACCTTAAATCACGAGTCTTACGAGCCGGCTCGCGAGCCAAATACATAATTAAAAAAATTTAAATACTAAAAATATTATAAATATTGTAAATACAATAAAAAATTTAGAAATTTAAACAAAATAAGCCAAATAACTATTAGAAACACAATTTTTATATAAAAATATAAAATAATTATTTAAAAAAATATTAAAAATTTTAAAATATTTTTTTCAGGCTCGCCACGGCTCGTGACAAGCTGGCTCATTCGGCTCGTTTTTCTTTCGAGCTCAAATTTTCTGAGCCCGACTCAGAAAAATATGGGTCGGCTCGCGCGAACCGAGCCCATTTTGACATCCCAACATGACCAGCAAGAATAATATACTGAATAAAAAAATGTCATTGTAAGAACAAGTACTCGAGCTAATACCCAACAGCGCCGTTTTCTGTCCATAGTGGGTTCAGACAGGTCCTTGTGAGAATAGGTAAATCCGGCGCGAGGTTCTTAGGTAAACAAACACGGTGCTTATGAGACAGAGGAGGTCCAGAAGAGCTTCGGAGAAAACCAAGTTTAAGGGATCTGCATGAAACAGATCAAACCATGAGACGAACACCAAACAGGAAAACATGCCATCCATGGATTCCTGAAATTCCTTTTGGTGTTATTAAATATCAGAACTTTAACGCCATTTTCAAGAGCTTATTAACCAGCCTCTGAAAGGAATCACAGATGAATAATAGAACACAGAAACAGAGGGAATAAATCTTACAACATTTCTCCTTAATTACAAACATAAACGAAACTTTCCGACAATATGATGAGCGAAGTTTAAAATCAGGATACAGAACACAAAGGCAAATTTGAGAAATCTTAGCATGACGACAAGCTCAAACAAATCATGTCAACGTAATCATAATGAACTGATCAAAGGGACAACATCGCTACACAAGAAAGAAGCACAAGAACATGTACCCTTATCAGAATATGGCCTTTAAGCGTCTTTACCTGAGCGAAGAACCAGCTCGTTGAATCATAGTAGACACAACTGCATTGTTAACCTTTGGAGCATGAGATGTCAAGTCAATGGCGGCGTAGCTAAAAGGGTCCATGGCACACTTAAGGAACATTGAGCAGGTTGCAGCAGCACGTAGGAGAGTTCGGGTATCAAGCATGGCAAACACCTTTACGCGCCACAATATAGAGTACACATCTCAATGTCAACCAAAGAAAAACGAATTTACCATAGGTTACCGAAGGAAAGAGGCACAGCCCTAAACATTGCCACGAAATTCAAAAACCCAAAGAACATGAACCCAATCAGAGACGAAATGCGAAGAGAGAATCGAGAAAGTATAAAGGAAGACGAAATGGTTTACTCTGGTGGTGAGATCGTGAGAAAGAGGCCAGGTAATGGAATTGTGAACCGTCGCGCGCTTCCGATAACACCGATCAGCGGACTCGATGAGAAGCGAGCCGAGGTTGCGAGCGCAATTGATGATCCCATTATCATCAGCGTTTCCACCCGATAAAACGGCGGCGGAAGCGAGGACTCGATCGAAGGAGCAATCGAGAGAGAGAGGGAACGATGGAGACTCAGCCCTCGCCAAAAACGAAACCAGAAGCTGATCGACCCGGTTCGAGAACATGCTAGGGTTCAGCGTGGTGGATGAAGAGGGAGACGTAGAAGAAGCAGAGAGAGGGCAACGTCGCTTGGCGCTGAAGCTTGGGAGGGCGTCATCCATGGCGAAAGAGAACAGCGAGAGGGAAAAGGGAGACGAAGGGCTGAGGTATTTACTGGATGGTTTGTCGTTTAGGGTTTATGGTGAAAAGAAGTGTACGCGTTTTAACCGGTTTATGCGAACACAGTACAGACAGTCAAAATTTTTATTAAAAATTCATAAATGACCCCAAGTTTAATTTATCATCCCATATATGCCCCATATTTTTATTTCATCAATATAAGTCCCTGTTTGGCTTTCGCAAGAACATACAATTAACTAACAGAACACACGCCATTCAATCATGTAAAAGTTTTAGACATTAAAAACGGAAGCACCATACAATATAAGAAACACAGACATTACATCATTAAACCTTGATCCATGATGAAATATCATCGATATCTTACAAGTCGTAAACTTGTTTGCCGGTGAACTTAACTTCGATGGGACTGGCATTCTTGCCGATGGACCTCATGTTCTGTCCCACGCCTTGTCTTCCCGGATTCGCCTTCTCCGGATAAACTCCGTCCTTGGGGTGCAAATACTGAACCTCGCCGTTGGGGAAAACCCTGTAGAACTGGTAGTTGATCTTGTACTTGGATCTCAACCTCGTACCTAAAGCCAGACACTGTTCTTTCCTCGCCAGCTTCAGCAGGTTCGGCCCTTCCCTCATGATCGCGGCTCCTCCCGTGGGCATCTCAAAGATCTGTTCTTTCGGGGAGTTCCATGTGATGACGTAGAACTCCTCCACCTGGGCTTTCCGGAGGAGACCGCCGGTGCTCCCGGCGAAGATCGGAGACGGCGTGTTTGGGTCCAGCTGCGGCGGGGTAAATCCCACCGGAGCTTCTTCCTTCGCGGCCGGTGCGGCGGCGGCGGCGGCGGAGGATTCGGCTTTCTCGGCGCGGATTGCGGTTTTGGAGAAGGAGAGCGATTTTGGGCGGTGGGTGTTGAAGAGTGGGAGCTTCTTGGCGGGGGATGCGGCCGTGGTGATGGCGGGGCTGAAGATTCCGGCGGCTTGTGTTGCCATTTTTTTTTTTTGGGTCAATGCATGAAGATGAGGAATGCTTGGTTGGTACGTAGTTAGTATATGATAATGGGAGATAGAGATGAGATGGCACAAGTGTTTGGATTTGTATCCTTGGATTTGGATTTTTTTGGATAAGGTGATGTTATTACGTGGACCAATGGGGTTCTTTCTTTTGATTCCTTCTCTTACCCTTTGCCCGATCCTCTACGACGTCGTTTCTGCCTCCTCTTCAACGCGACGTCGTTTGCACGATTTGAGATTCTTGTATATACATGGGCAATTCGGTTATTCATAAATGAAAAATTAATAATAATTCTAGTTATAAAAACCAAATGATTAATGGTATTTTTATAACCAAAAATACCGATTTATTTTTTTAAAAAAAAATCTAACATAAAAACCGAATGAAAACGGAGAACTTCCGATCTAAAACCGAAATTACTACCCTTTACAACAACGCATGTTAGTGTGTGCGAGTATTTTAATCATATGATCTTAAGAAGACAGAGACAAGAATGTCTTCAGAAACACAAAGCGTAAAAACAACACACTTAGCTTTCAGTTTGAGACGGCATGAGCCTAAGCCTCTCCTCAGACGGCCGGCTCTCTTCGGACAGCAAAGACTGCAAGTCGCTGCCGTTAGCCAAACTGTTGAACTCGACGGCTTTGGAGGGCATTGTCGGGTACCGTCTCTGACAAAACGTCATCAGTCTTTTAACCGACTGGAGGTACTTGCGTGTCGTCTCGTCGTTCATGATGTGTGCGACGCTGTTTGTGTAGATCTTCTCCCGAGCCGAACGCTCGTGGATGCCAACCATGGTCACACCGATGGGCCATGGCGCGTTCCCGATGGCCAGCTTGATGTATTGGTCCATCCCGGCTAGGTAGTCTCGCTCGACGCAACAGTTAACCACCACCATTAGCGCTTGCCGGATGTCATCTGGAAGTGCCTAAGTGTAATAATGTCCATTTACAGAGAAGAACAGAGGCATTATCCACCAGTTTCAAGAGCTTAACTGACCATCATCTTATTCATGAAGACTATATGCTATATCTACGACTCATATTTATATATATCTTCTCATGATGGATTTAGAGAACGGATTCACTCTCTGCCTAACATCGCCCGAAAGGAACAATGCGGAAGCAGAAAGCCCCTAACTCTAACAAACAGGTTCTAAAACCGATATGAAAACCTAACACAGAAAACCTAACATATCGAGGCAATAAAGATTATTTACGAAGCTGCTTTCTGTTTAGTTTTTGTATACAACAATGGAATAACTTGTATCTATCCTAGTCTCCGGCCCATTTAATTTCACCAGTGACTTCAGGTGTCCCGTGAATATGGTTATGAATCTTATGATCGATTGCTCAAGTCTATGATGTCCCATGTTTTTCGAAAAGACAGATATTCCATTCCACATTCAAGCGAAGGTAATATCAGGTGCACCTTTTATTCGTTCAATCGACCCGACTAAGTTGCCCATTGCATCCACCACCTCTAAAATCCACCGATTCACCTTAAACCCTTAACCATCACCACAACCTGAACAATGTAAGGCTACGTTTTCCGAGTCTAGATATCGTATTTCACCGACCGACATAGTCTAACCTGCTTAACTGACCACAATTACTAGCTCAATCAAGGTGGTTTCCGGGCAGTCCCTTCAGCTTAAAGAACACAATTCTAACTAAGCTTATCAAGCATCTATGGCAATGGCATGGATATTGTTCGACTCCTTAACAATTTGCTAACCTTCTATTCCGCCCATTACCATCTCCATTACCAAAGTGCTTCATATGCAATGCAAGTAACAGTTTAAAAGGATACATATTTACAAGCATGGAAAGGAGAAAACGAAGAGGAACCGCAACTCACCTTCTTTCTGCAAAACTTGAAGAGAGGATTGAGATATCTAGCACACTGCTTAAACGTGGCAACCATCTGCTTCCCTCTAGCAGTTCGCCTCTCTGCCTCCTGCATCGCATCCAGCTCCTGGTTCCATTCAATCAACAGCTTCTTGAAGAACACAAGTATCTTGTCCTCATCGCAAAGCTCGTCGAAATTGGCTTTCAAACGCTTCAAATCCTTATCTGCATCAACCCCACTCGACCCACCATCAGCGCTAAGTTCATCTTCCCTAACGTCACCTTCGTTACCCTCATCTCCTCCCTCTTCCCTATCCTTCCTCTTCCTCTCGCTCAACATTCCACTCTTCTGACGCTTCCTCAGCTCCGCGATATCACGCAAGAAGTCATTGGTCTGCCCCTCCATCACATCGCTATCAACTTCGAACAATCCCGCTTTCAGCACGTACTTGAGCCGATCGAGCCGCGCTTGATCATCCTCTCCGAAGAGTGTAATCGGCTGCTTCAGAAACCTCAGTCGACGAATCACTTCCTGCCTCGGAAGCACGAGGGTGTCGATGTTCCGCTCTTCGGCTAGGGATTTGGAATTAGCCGCGCCAGCCGCATCGGATGCGGAGGATTTGGAGGAGGTCGAAGCCGAGGCCGTCGAAGAAGTGGTGGCTAATGCAGCGCCGGATGATCCGCCGGCGCCGGCTCTGCGCTGGGCTTTGAGTTCCTGTTCGCGGCGTTCCTCCTCGCGAAGCTTCTGGATCTTCTTCTGCTCGATCTCAGAGCGCTTGAAGACCTTCCGACCACCGGTTTCCTCGGCCAGGCTTTGCCGTTTCTTCAGGAGCTCTTGCTTGAGCAGATCCATGCGAAGGGTTTTTCTTCTTCGCCGCAGAGGGTTGGGTTCCGCTTGAAAATTTGACGATGTCAGATATGAATCCAATGACGGCCAGTTATATATATATATATAACTGTACAGTTGTGATGGTAATGCCGATGATTACATATTACGACGTCGTCCTTATCATGGGCCTAAAGCCCAATAAGATATCAATTACAGTTGATCCAACGGTGATTGGGCCATAATTGAACCCGCTACGATTAAAAAAAAACAAAGGAATTTATCTGGTAAATATAAACCATTAAATAAGGAAAAAGGTAATATTAAAACACAAAAGGATTAAAAATATATAAAATTAAAATAAAAAAATATAAAATATAAAACTAAAAATAAATTTACAAGAATTTCTTAATAACAAAATTTGTTATCAATCGGGAAGTTCATCTGGACTTTTAGCCATACTTACATTCTCTTGATCCGGGAGCAGCCTTTCTTGATCCGGGAGCAGCCTTTTAACACGTAATTTTTAATTGCACCTCTCCCTCTCATCATGGAAGATCGAACGGACGACCTCGACGTATCTTTGACATCCTCAGTAGTCACTGGACCACACCCATGTGGGTGTCATCTAAACCCAAATTTCCTTTTTTAGGCCTTCAAACATAAAATGATTACATTTTCTTTATACAAATTACAGTTCAGGATGTTAATATAATCTTAATTAAATGCTAAATAAACTATTTATTGGCTTTTCGGTTCCTTCGTATCCTCGTTTTAGAAGCAGCAAACAATTTAAAATTTTATAGTTTCTGATACTAAAATATTTATTTAAAAAATAACAATTTTATGTAATATAAACTTGGAAAATATCCAGCGAAGTTCCTTCGTCGCACTGTATAATATATCGAAATTATATCTAAAAGAAAAAGAAAACGGTTTGTTACGAAGCAAAAAAAAAAAAAGGAAGAAGAGACAATTGCTAGGGAAAAATGAGCATCCGTCCAAACACTAATTTAAATTCGATTTCATTACAATGTCTCTCCATTTATGTCGTGGGCCGTCCGATATCTCTGTCTGTCCCATTCAAGTGCCCTTTCCTTATATATACACACACATACACATACATATATTTATATATATGCATATATATTACCTAACCTTTGCAGTTTTGTCTCTTGGGTCCCAATCCAAACACATCAATCCCAATTCGTATTTGTGAGGTTCGAGATTAAAGGATAAAACATATGGATCGATATCTCCGTTGAAATTTTGTTCTCCAATCATCTATCATATTTCCTATCGATTCTATAAATGAAGAAATAATTGAAATAACGCTCTATTTGAATCATAATATAAAAACAATAAGAACAATATTTTTATTTTTTAGATAAAACCCGAGACAAATAAATAAATAAAGAAAGAATGGAATCTAAATATAGTAACAAATATAATATTTGCCCATAAGAAACAAAATCAAAATATGCCGAACGACTACAAATTTATAATCTGTTCGTAATCGATTTTGCTAGTATCTTTATCTAGAATTGTTAGTATAATTCAATCGTGTGTCTAATATATATATATATATATATATCGCCCTGTTATTAGTTTTATTTTACTATATATTTTTTATTACTTTTTTTAGTCACAGATTGTTGAAAAGCATGCATTGTAGAATCACATACACAATTGGATAATAAGGCCGATCAAGTGGTGATATGAAAAGGAAACAAGATAAAAAGGAAAAAGATTTTGATGGCACATATATATATATATATATATATATATATATATATTCTAATGGTGCCGAAGAGGGTTTTACAATTATGAGATATGAGATGATTACAACGTCGAAATTCCAACTAAATGAGTACAAAACCTAGTCATGTGTTATAAAGCAAGACTTGTCTGCCTATCCCTTAACAAAGAGAGAACGCAATTGTAGGGACCAACGGAATTCATACCACCGAATCTCTAAAAGTTAAACGGCTTTTCGACGTGACAACTTTGATTTTGTGTACCTTTTTTTTTATCTTTACGAACATATATATTTTTTCCCTGTTTAAATATTTATGAACATATACATACACATATATATTGAATCCTTTAATAGACATTATATCAAAAATATTATATTTATATATATATATATGCTATTTTGATTTCAACACATATCATTCTCCAATTATGATCATGTGATCCTAATTACAGTCTGATCACATAATAGTCACAGTGTTTATAACAACTTTAAACTTATGATAATCACGCTAATTTACTATATTCACCTTTTACGTATCAAACTAATTTTTTAATAAAACTATTATAAATTTAACGTTATGATCTATGAGATGAGACTGTAATTCTGACATCATAATCACAGTTAAAGAATGATATGAATTGAAGTTAAAATAAAATATATATATATATATATAAGATATTTTTGATAATGTCACGGTTTAGTACATGGTCAGGATCATAGTGTCACTTAACCTAGTTGATATAAATATAATCATACTATATAGTGGGGTCCACCCTCCATGTCATTTGCAATCTCAATCTCTACTAATTAATGGGTACATTTTTTTTTTTGTGGTATCGGCGGGAACTCAACCACAATCCTTCGGACGCAGTGATAAACCCTCCGTCTCCACGCAATAGTTTACAAACTACGTGGAACAAGTAAACCATCCAAAAGGTGACAAGCTCGCAAGTGAACGGAATTGAACTCATAAACTCTTGAAGAATCATGTACTACTTCACCAACTCACCCGACCCATTTGGCCAATGGGTACAGATTAGATAAAATATGACTTGAAAAAGGACCCATATGCATAACTCTTGTAATTTCACATAACTTTTGGTTAAGTTTCTTTCTTTATTGTAAATTTACATTCACCTATAATCTCCCATGATTATGTTAAACGAAAAACAAAGGCATGAAAGGGAGATATCTCATGATCTTCCTCATGAGAGAGAGAGAGAGAGAGAGTCTGATTGGATCAGTTGACTCGTTGAAAGAGGACTTTGGCGATATGAGAGTGGAGAGAGAAAGCGTCGCACGAGGCTAAGTAGTAATAGGACTTTGCAACGATGAGGAATGTGAGCTTGACGTCATGGCTGAGGTCATCACCACCACCTGATGAGGACGACGATGATGGTGATGGTGATGGTGATGATGATGATGGTCTCTTCAACACCATCTCCACCAGCTCTTTCATCATCTCACTCTCTCTCCTCCTCTCTTCGTTCGTTGTCCTCTTCTTCTTTGTGTTTTTGTCATCTTCCCTCACCTGAAACCCAAGAAAACCTCACAATTGGTTAACATGGAATCAGGCAATTACAGGCATGGGGTGTGAAGGTAGTGGCATTTATAGTTTTTAGGGCTAATTTCTTGAATTACAAAGGGTACAATTCATAGTCTAATTAAGAGCTCTTTTCTTTAATTAAGTACATTTAATAAAACTCCACATATAAAGGGTATCATATGTATATGTATGTGTGATTTGCCACAAAACCAAACGAGATACGAATGAGATTACGTAGGGACAGTGGACCGACCAGATGAAGGCAGAGACGGTTGGTGAGTTCGGAGAGACGGTGGAATAGAGGATGGGACAGGACTTGGTCTGGGGATGTGTACGGAGACCTTCGACCTCCACTTCTCATTACGCTAATCATTTTCACCATCAGCTCCGCTTCTCCTCCTCCTCCTCCTCCTCCTCCTTCCCATTTCTTCACCCATTCCCGCCACTACATAGTACATACACATATACATATATGTGTATATATATACATATGTATATGCATGCGCATCCACAATTTCACATCTTTCCATCACACACTCTCTCTCTCTCTCTCTCGCACTACAACACACGCAAGAACTCGTGTGCAAGCACTGATGCATGTACACATTACTGCTATATTCATGCATGCATGCACATCTTCCGACCAACGTTTTTTCAATTCGTATATTACCTAATGGTATCTATACGTACATGTTATATTGAATTGCTGAAAAGATAATTACTTTCAGAACTCTGATTAATCACCATGCATATAGATTTTTATGGTTTTTCCTTAGTGCAAGAGAACCGATTGTGTATATAATTTATATACGAGGACCAAACTATTTACAAGTCTAATAGCTTATATGTTAGACACGACGATAAGGCCTAGAATTTAGAAAGCTCATGCATGTCATATATACAATAGGATATTCTCATATATATATACACACACACGTATGTATGCATGCATGTATGCATTGAGGTGATAGGTTCTTCTTCTAGCTATCAAACAAAATTCGTTGTTTACGACATAAATGCATGCCTGTCTGTGTGTGTGCAGTGTATAAATATCAAAATATACGTATAGACAAGACAGGAGATTCGAGAAAAAGAAAAAAGAAATAAATAAATAAAAAGACTTACGGAGTGATAAAGGTGGTGGGTGACGTCGAGGCCGTGGGCCATGAGAACCTCCAAAGACATGTGGTTCAACGTTGCTGCTAGGGTTCCCACCAGCTTCCTCGCCTTCTCCGACGATCCTTCCGCTTCATCCAATGATCTCTTCCTGTGTGTGTGTGTATATATATATATATATATTTGTATAAATACACTCGTATATTAATTCCACACTATATATATATGTGTGTGAGCAAGACAAAACCACCCATTCATCTATCCAATGTAAAAATTCAGGCATTAAATATTTTCCTCTCTCTCTCTTTTATTTATTTTGTATATATATAAACTTAGATATGAATGGAAAACAACCTTGGAACCTTCATTTTCAGAGGCTTTTTAGATCGTAGTCATTAATCGAATTTGTCGTTTTCCTCTCATCTTCACATATACATGCATGCATGCATCATATTCATGCATGTGCGTGTATGACGATGGACTATTATGCTATCGTTTCATTTTTAGATAGTGTGTGTGTGTGTGTGTATATATATATGTGAAACAACCATCTATATATATTTCAAGAGATTAATCTGTGTATAGGTTATAGTAGTACCTTCCATTTTGGGCGTTGGCGATGTAGCTTTCAAATTCGTCGAGAAACCCTCTCTTTTGAACAGAGGTTCCGCCGCAGCAAGAAGAGATGGCCTCAACCAAGACTCTCGACTTGGCCCACGCAATTCTCTCGTATGACCTCTCCGGTTCAAAGATGCTCGCCGCTGCCAAAAAGTAATACACGAGAACCAGACTCCTGTTCACTCCGTAATCGCTTAGCCCGTTTTCCTCGTACCACCTGCACCATTTTCGACACGAATATCATCAATTTCGAACCATACATATATACATATATATATATATATATTCCTACAATATAAAAGTGAAACCGCATGATGCGAGATGAACATGGACGCCATGTGCACGACCAATTATGACCACAACAACGGTTTATAATTCTTTCTTTCTTTCTACGAGGATGACATATATATATATGAACAATGGAATCTTTCTACGAGGATGACATATATATATATGTAGGAAACCAATGATGACGATGAGGGTGACGAAGAATTCACTTACTTTTGCATTCTATCCCACTCGATTTGATGAATCGCTTGGCAGCTGTTATAATCTTGCTTCGCCACTTCTAGATACACATCATTGTTTACGTAAGGCATCCTGTCCATTCAATTTATATATATTTTTTAAAAAAAGATCGAGTCAAACAAGGAAAATATTTGTTTGCTAGAAAAAAAAAAAAGCAGGTCCAAGTTTGCGTCGTCCAGTGGTGAGAGAACATGCAGAGCATGCTCTCTGGTCCTGGGTTCAAACACAAGCGTGGAAAAGGGTATTCATCTGGACTTCTCCAATCTTCTGGAAGATGTAGTTGGGTTAAAGAACCGGTGAACTTTCGGTTTATAAAAAAAAAAACCAGCATTGCAACATCTAAAAAAATTACCAAGGAAAGAAAACAAATAATACGAAACATGGAATATATATACACATATATACATATATATTATATTTTCTAATTGGCCGATAATCACGACCGACCAACCACTTAATTTTCACCCATTCTATTTACTTAAAGTTTCAGGTAAATTATTTAAAATATATGTCTAAATAAAAAAAGTGTCGCGGTTACTCTCCTTAACTTGGGAGCTATGATTAAAAACATATGCCACCCATGATGAGATTTCGAATCCTCGACAGGGATTTTTTCCCCGAAGCCGAAAAGACCCAAATACCCTCGTTGGATGAGCCACTTGAACACCTTTTCCTATTTTGGGTCGTATGTATGGACACGCTTTATATCCACACCTTATATTGTATGCATAAATTTGAGCCATATTGCCTATTTTTAGTCTATCATCTTTCCCTCCCATTCAAATTCTTGTAACCACACAAAACTGCACCCTCAAGGAACAGTCTTTGTCTTATACGCTTCGAAATTTCTATTTAAATTCGAAGTTAGTATTGTACATACATACATATATATATATATATTGTCTTTATTCTAAAGAAAGTACTCGTCGTGTAATATTTTTTGTATATGTAATAAAAGGGTAATTTAAAAAAAAAAATACCTATAAAGGGTCTTGCCAATCCAGACGTCATCTTCTCCACCGTATTGGTCAATGTAGAATCTAGTCTCCACTCGAGGCAATGCAGCATACCATGGTGTTTCCAACGCAAACCCAACCTACAATTATAGACCAACACGCTTTGTCGTTTTTGCCTTCCATTAGATGCCCGGAAACGGCAAGAAGTGCGCGTTCTTTTTTTTTTTTGGAGCGTTATGGTTTGGTGTTATTATTATATATACGTACCTCGCCAGGCAAGTCTTTGGTTATAATCCACTTATCGACAAGCTGATCCGACTCTTGTTTCTGTCGGAGAAACTTGTACGAGAACTCCTTGGCGTTTTGCAGGATCTCCTCTCCGGCAAATCCCAACTGCGATGCCCGGTATAGGTTGAACATCCCCGTCACCGCCTGGTTTGATTGCCCGACAAAGCAGAAGAACTCTTCGTCCTTTTCGAAATTCTTGAATACGTCTACATATATATATATATATACACACCATATATGATAAATGTTAGTCCATTCATTCACGTTATAATCATATATATTACTATATATATGTAATGGAAACATTTTAAAAAAAAATCGATAACGTTTTGAGTCTATAATATTGTTTAGTTACCTGCGGAAACGTCGTATCCATGCATCCTTAACAGCCTGAATGCCATGGCTGTGTCGTCTATGTCTTGGACGGGGGAATGGCTTGCCCAGCATATGCCATCTTCTGTCCAATGTCTGAATAAAAATTTCATTACAAGTGTAACAAACATTTCTAGTGTGAACATTCGAGAAAATTATGTCAGCAAAGCAGTGTATATGTATATGTCGGGTGGAACCTATGAACGTAGTCCATGCAGTGATCGATCTCGTCCTCGAAGTATCTCGAGATCCCTAGCCGCTGCAACCGATCCACCACCCACATACGTTCGAATAGATCAACCGGATACACATTCGGGACTGCGAATACAACAAAATCATTCCAATATACTTACATGTGTATATGGATATTGGCATATATATGATAACGGATGAGTATGTGCAAGTATGTATTCACCTCCTCCGTCGAAACGTTGGACCACATTCCGTAAATATCGGAGACAGTTATCGTCTCGGGTCTCCATAAAGGCAAATGCGGTGGAGGAAGGAGAGAAGAGGAAAGAGCCGTCTTGGCATTGGAACTTCAAGAGCCTTTCCCAATCTAAACCAGGCATACCCTCCAAGCTATGCAGCAATGTCGTTGGGACCTTGTGCATTATCTCTTTCGGAATCCTATACATATATATATAAATGATGTCACACGAGATATAGTAAGTACGTATACGTACGGCACAAAAGTCATACATGTGAAAAAGATTAGGTTTGTTATATACAATATACGTATCACAAATCTATTTGTCTCGAAGCAAATTAGGACAAGATGGTCCCGGGAGAATATGAAAGGACTACGGCCGTACGTATAATGTCTGAAACGTAACCAAATATATAATGTCAATATATATATATATATGTATATGTATATGTACATGGGCCGACCGGCTGACCTGGTGAGCTTGAGATTTTTCTTGGAGTGGATCTCCTGCAGGACAGGCGAATCATAAGGCACATCGATGTCCAGTCGCCGAGCGATGTCCAACAGCGACGGGAAAGCAACTTCGAATCCGATGGGCATGTGTTCGTCCTTTTCCTCTCGCAGTTTCTCTATATTTTCTCGGAAAAACTCTATTCCTGCGTCCACAGCTCATGCAACGCCATTTTCAGTCCCCCTTTTTTTTTTATTAAATAAAAAGTTTAAATTCACACAATATCTTTCTGTTTTTTTTTTTTTTTTAAATGGAACAAGACCGATCCCACCCCAAACCCCACACACGCGAAAAAGGCAGATTTTTCTAACCAAACCAAATAAACCATGGATTTTGAACGTTGGTCTTGAAAAATCCGAACTTTTCTCAGAGTTAAACAAAATAAAAAGGGTAAAATTTTAAGACATTTAAATCTTTTTTCCTGAGTTTATTAAGAAAAGTTTAGAATTTTTTCACATATTCAAAAAAAAAATCGATTTTTTTTAAAGTTATCCTCTCAGTATATATTTTATGTTTTGTTTTGTTTTGTACGAGATCAAAATCACTTAATATACATGGCAAGACAAATTACTTAAAGTATAATAGTTTTTTTTTTCCAAAATTTACAAATTTTTTGTGATATATTTCAAATAACATTTTTTCCCCAAAAGAAACACTTCAAATACTGAAATTTCTTTTTAAAAAACTATATTTTCTTCACAACAGTACATTACAAACTCTCGACCATAATCAACTACATCTTTTTTTTTTTTTTTTTTGGAAAAACTTAGGCCGTCTCTCTTGGCCACCCATTCAAAAAGTTCAGATTTTTTTTTCACAATATCCTAAAAAAAATCTACCCTTTATTTGTCACCCCTCAAACAAATCAAAATTAAAAAAAAAAAAAACAAGAAGATCAAGAAAGAGGGTAATATATATACACACACACATACCTTTGTTGCACTGGTGAGGGAACATTTTCCAGTGTCTAAGGGCGATAACGCATGCAAGGGTGTTGATGAGACGATCGTGATAGGAGAAGAGAGAGGAATCTCCCCACGACCCGTCCGGGAGCTGATTGCTCGCGATCCATCCGATCGCCGTTGGGAACTGAGGGCTCTTTCCGTCTCCGTCGCCGCCGCCATTGTCGTCTTCCTCGATGAGAGCGACCCACGCCGTGTCGTACGCAGAGACCGTTATCTCTCCGTCTCTTATGCTTTTCATCACGCGCTTCACTGCTTCCACTCCTTTCTTTATCGCATTGCTTCTCAACTCGACCTTCATTGTATTTATTTATATATTTCAGAAAAATAGATTAAAAAAAAGTTCTGAAGAGGGTTATTAATTAATTATTACCATTGATTATTTCACTGTATATTTGAAAAAATAAAATATTTTTTACAAGTGGAAATTTAAAAAATAAAAACACAATCACCTGGAGATGTTCCCTGCCTTCTACATCTTGCCACTGTATCACCGGAAGTTCATGCTGTAGCCCTGGAGATAATTCTACAACCGGAAATTCACATAGTAATTAAAAAATACTATAAAATAAAAAAATAATTACTGGTATTTTATAGAGTGGATTTTATGCTGTTTTTTTTTTTGGGAAAAATAAAAACATTTGCAGAATAGAGATCACAGTGTTATTACCATGGGTACGGAGTTTTGAAAGGGACAGGGATCCTCTTCTCCTGGGTTGAACATTGAACTGGATTCGTTTGTCTTTATTCGCCACAAAGGGAGATCCTGAAAAGGGTAAAATATATTTAATTTTATGGTTAGAAGCAATAAAAAGAAATGCTTTTTTATTAGTTTTGGGGAGATTCACTTTCGCTTGGTAATAACTAATTATAAAAAAGATCCCAGGTCAACCCATTAATTAATTAAAGAGTACGAGTACGTATTATAGCCACGATCATTGTTAAAAAAAATCATATATATATATATATATATATATCCATATATAGCATAGTTAAGTAAGTAGCAGTGTAAGAACAGTATTCATGATACAAGATTTAGGGAAGAGATGAATGATGTTGGGAAATAAGTGAAGACTAAAATCAAGATGCAATATATATATATACATACATAGAAGTGTGTGTACACAATCAAATATATATACATATACATATACATATACATATATATATATATGTAAGAGAGGACTTTTAAAAGAATCAGGACAGAGACAAGTGAAACTAGGTACTGGGTTTGGTTGTACTGTCAAAGACACAAAACCAGGGTTTGAGTACATGGAATAAAAACTAGCTATGATGCAATACACAGACACACACATATATATATATACACACATATATATGTATACACACACATATATGTGTATGATTGGATGCATATGAAGAGAGAGGAGTGGAACTGCAGTCTCATGAACACTCCCCACTACCACCACACCACACAAAAACTCCATTTGAATTCACCTATTTTTTTTTTAAGAAAATAAAATAAAAAGAGGATCTATTTTTCCAAACATTGAGACAATCTCTCGATTGATTGAGACACTTTATACTGACAGGACTTGAGAAACTCGTTTCATATTTGCATACGCATATATACATATACCCTTTAAATTACCAAAAAAAATTGTACTTTGAGTAGAGACCGTGTGGCATCAATCGACCATTTAGACCATAGGAAACCGAAGATTTTAATTTCTCAAATCTCCGTTTTACGATCATCATTAGAAAAAAAAACTTTTTTTTTTCTTGGGAGGTGATCATCAGGTTTAGAGAGAGAGAGAGAGAGAGAGAGGAGGAGGAGGAGGTAGAAGAGGAGAGGAGGGGTACTGATGAAACTTCTCACGCGTGGGTGCGCAGAGATTCAACCCCCTGTTTGTTTCTCGAGAAAATGACTTTTCATCGGAAACTATGTGAAAAAGTTTTGCTCTCCCCCCGGCTAAAGATCATACCCATCATGAAACCCACAAAAAGCATGAAAATCACTCGAGAATCCGAAGAATAAAAAACCCAAAAGGGTCTTCGTGTGTGTATCTGTCTGCGCGTAATAGAGAGAGAGAGAGAGAGAGAGAGAGAGAGAGAGAGAGGGTAAACGGAAACTCACCTTTCGAAGAAGAGGAAGAGGGTGATGGTGAAAAGACAAAGGTGTGTTTGGGGGCAGAGAGAGTTTGAAGAGACATGGCTCTTATGTGTACGAGCTTATTGATGTTTCAGTTTATGAAGAAACAGAGGAATTATCTGTGAGAAAGAAGAGAGAAAATGGGCGACGATGGTGATGGAGAGATATGAGAAAGAGAGGCTTCTGTTGGGAATTTAAAGAGGATGAAGAGCCCGATGGAGACAGACCGACTGACACTGGGTTGTGTTCTGTCTGAGAGTGAGAGAGAGTCAGAGAGAGAGAGAGAGAGAGAGAGAGAGAGAGAGAGAGAGAGAGAGAGAGAGAGAGAGGTGCATGGATGAAAGACGGTGGGGATCATCCAAAAATGGAATCGAGGGCAAAATTGTCATTTCATCCATCTCCTATCGTCGTGTTCTTGTATATATCTCCCCCCACTTGGATTAGCTTCATAACTTAACGTATCACAACAATAATGATAGAATCTGTGCTAATTGTGTGCCGAAAATATTCTTCTGCCGTTTATTTCAAATATAGAATTTTAATAAATTATTCTATATACATATATATTTGGCAAAAATATTCTTCGTTTTATTAATTCTCATAAATGCCCTTTGGATATGTATGAATTTTAATTACTATATAAACAAAATCCAAAACATTTATGGAAACGTTAATTTTATATGTGGGTGGATATTTATCTTTTTTGTTATATGGTATTTTATCCCAACATTTATCTAACTCGCAATTTAATTATTTACTTAATTTTATTTTCACTAACCCATAGCGAAATGACATATCGGTTGTCAAACTCTCGAACCACCAAACCAATTAACTCACACGAAATCTAGCAGCTTAATAATAATAATAATAATAATAATAATAATAATAATAATAATAATTTACAATAAATCTCAGCCACAAAAACAAATATTTGTATACACCTAATGTGAATATCGATATATAAGTAAATATGGGTTGAATTAATTGCGAATCTACCCATTTTCAATTGCCATTTATATATAATCACCTTTTTTTTCCCAAATATATTTTCCATATACTGTATTTTTTTCTGTACATTTCCCCAGATGTATATCTAAAATAAATTTAATTTTTTCAAAACAAGTACAGATATAATATTCTATATTGGCAATCGTATTAGTTGCTAACAGTATATTTACTACAGTCAACATTACTATAAATGTGGACGCCTTATCTTCTGTGTTTTTGTTTTTATTTTATTTTTCTTATATGGTATTTTACAGTCCATGTTTATCCTAAAAATTCCCCTGATAAATAGCTAATTAACTACCACCAATGCAATGGGCTGTAACATTGGGCCTAATTTTACTGCGACTTCGGCTCATAAGCCCATAAGCCCATAAATAATATTTTTATTTTGTTTTTCTTTTATTATATATATATATATATATACACACAAAAGCACTTCAAATGTAAATCACGCGCCGTCGTCGTCGCGATGGTAGATCTCCAAGGGATAAGGAAACTAATACGAAACACACAAAATCTCTCGTAGAGCCAAAAAAAATTCTGTCTTCCCTCCCTTCCTTGGCTTCCATGAAACCTCTAATCTCTCACCGGCCATCTCCAACGGCTCCGTTCTTCTTCTCCGCCGCATCTCCGCCGCAGCTCCGCCGGTGTATCCGCTCATCTTCGTCTTATTCCTTGTCTCCGCCGCCTCGCTGGCGTTCCTTCGCCGCTTGTTCCCTCTCAATCAGGAACATTTCGTATGACTCCGCTGATCAAGACCTTCCTTCTAGGCCGCGAACTGTCTATCCCGGTGGATACAAGCGTCCGGAAATTCCCGTCCCCGGCCTCCTCCTCAAGTTAGACGCCGACGAGCTTCTGAGCGGAAGCCGCGACGAGGCTCTTGCTCTGGTGGGCCGAGCCTTGGCTAAGTCCATTGAAATCGTGGTGCTCGATGGCGGAGCCACCGGCGGACGGCTCTATGAAGCAGCATGTTTGCTGAAGTCCGTCGTCAAGGGCCGAGCTTATCTCTTGATCTCCGAACGCGTTGATATCGCCACCGCCGTCGGTGCCAGTGGAGTTGTTCTCTCGGACCAAGGTATGATAACTTGGTTTCTGCAAACGCATTCCATATGGGTCTTTTTCGTATCTGCAATTTAGGTTGTCATTCCACATTACTGGATAAAACATTTCCATGTGCTCTGTACAGGTCTTCCAGCAATAGTTGCACGAAACACTATGATGGGTTCCAATTCCGAGTCGGTAGTTCTTCCTTTGGTTGCTAGGACAGCACAGGATGTTGATTCAGCTCTAAGTGCTGCTAGCTCTGAGGGTGCTGATTTTCTGATAATTGGCTCTGGTGAAGAGAAGCAAGTAGGTTTAGTTGTGGAGTCATTGTTGAAGGGTGTGAAAATACCCATTTACGTGACGCTGTCTGGAAGCACAGGAACGGACAGCGAAGGACTGCATCTATTGAAATCAGGTGCTGCTGGTTTTGTTATTTCGTTGCAAGATCTGAGATCTTCCAGGGATGATGTTCTCCGCCAGTGGGCTTATGCTGTGGGTTATGAAACAAAGAATGAGGTTGGCAACTTTGATAACAAAACGACAATGGTTCAGGGTAGCGACCTGAAGGAGAAAAAAGGTTCTGGAGGCTTTGTTAAATTAGAGGACAAAGAGAAACTCATCATAGAAATGGAGAAATCAGTTTTGAGGGAGGCAATTGAAGTCATCCAGAAGGCAGCTCCACTGGTGATTTTTACTTAAACATTTGGTAGTCGAAGTTCGTTCTTTAAATGATCCTAAATTTCCTTTTCTTTGGTTATTATTTTATTTAATTTGATTCTTGAACTGTTTTCAATACAGATGGAGGAAGTCTCACTTCTAGTTGATGCAGCTTCCCGGATTGATGAACCATTTCTAATGGCTATAGTGGTAATTCTGCACTGAATTCCATCAAATTGTGGTTCCAGGATATCCATTGGTATTAGCTCTATATTCAAGGCAAACATTCGTTACTTAATTTTACCTGGAACTAGGTAGCTTAATACGGATACTTGCGGTGTGATCAGCATACTAGTAGTCGCTTTCTTATTTCTGTACTTCTTGATATATTCCTGTCTTAGAAATTCTTCTTTAGCAGCTTCCATCTTCTCTGAAGTTCATTTAGACGTCAGGAAACAGGATAGGATAATACAAAGCTAAGCTAATGAGTGCATTCTTTCGGCATTTGGGTGTTACAATTTTTCGGAGTAGGGTAAATGCTTGTTTTTCTATTGCATGTTGTCCCTTACGTTTGGTTTAAGATAAATATGCATAACGCGGTGTGGGTGTATTTGGATATTGGCAAAAGGTGGAATCATTTTTGCCGTAAAATACTCTTTTTCCATAGTGTCTTACTCGAAAGGGATAAATTTAGGCATATTTTACCACCGTTAAACTATTATTCAATAAATAGAGTAAACACTCTAGCTGCCTCATCCTTTAGCATCGGTACTCTTAGTGTGAAAATATCATTTAGAAGCGGAGATTTTGTATTAGTAGTTAGCTTTCTAATGAACAAACTGCTTCACATTGAATTAATAGTTTGTATAGCCGCCTCTGTTATGGAAGATATTGCCAATGTACTTATGATTGTTTGAGGCGAACCATGAGAGCTCCTCTTTGTGAAATGTCTGATGCTGGAAATGTAGCCCTTCATGATTCAATATAGTCTTTGCATGGCCAAGCATATTATGGGGACTAAAATCTTGATGATTATAGGGGGAATTCAATTCCGGTAAATCAACAGTCATCAATGCACTTCTTGGGAACAAATACCTAAATGAGGGGGTAGTTCCTACTACAAATGAGATCACTTTTCTGTGCTACTCGGAGTTGGAGTCTGGAGAGCTACAACGTTGTCAGAGGCATCCAGATGGTCAATACATCTGCTATCTTCCAGCATCAATTCTCAAGGATGTGAGCCATTCAAAGTGCTGCTAGCAAAATCATTATTTTGAATGATCATCTGCAATAACTAATTTGGTTCCATTATGTTTCGAGCAGATAAACATTGTTGACACACCTGGGACTAATGTAATTCTTCAAAGGCAACAGCGTCTTACTGAAGAATTTGTTCCACGTGCAGATCTGCTTGTTTTTGTTCTTTCTGCTGATCGCCCTTTAACCGAAAGTGAGGTAGGGGTTATTGTTTACCGTCTCTGGCATGTTGGCACTCTTAGTTTACTATGTATCTACCCTTAGGAGCTGAGTAATATCCATTTGTCTTAAAAATAGTTATTTGGTTGTATACACGCCATCAAGAATTTGTTTAGTGAATTTAAAACAATTATCATGTTCAAATGTTTCTGAATTGGAATAATCATGCCACCAACATGAGCAAGTAATAGTTATTGGTGGCAGCTGTACACCTTTTCGCTTCATTTGGTGGTGGACTGGTGGTAAAAATTTGGTTGTGGCATATGCAAGATAGTAAAAACCCGTATGCAAAAACTCTTGTACAGAGGGGAGCCTGTCTCCATTTTGTTGATTCTTTCTTTTCTGGAAAGAATTAGAAGTATAGAGGAGTTACAATTCTCGAAAGTTTTAATCTAATAGAATTGAGTTTTTTGCTTCCTAAAATGCGAAATTGTTTTGAATTCTGGCAACAATCTGATAAGTGTCCCACATTGGAAAATGAGAGGGATTTGGGCCAATATATATGTAAGGGTCAAACCTCCACTCTTAAGCTAGCTTTTGTGGTGGAGTTAGGGCCTAAACCTTATTAATTGGTATCAGAGCTTAACTCTCTACTTTCCGGTGGGCCTTTGACGGGCCGTTCTCTTGCGGACATGCGGTCGACTCGGTGGTTGTGGGACGGTCGGGAGAGGAACGGTTGGGAGAGGAACGATCAGGAGAGGAACGGTCGGGGATGGACCGAGAAGCCGCCAGTGATCGAGAAGCCGCCAACGACCGAGAAGCCGCCAGCGACCAGATTTGCCCCAGCGCCGTGGACGTCGTTGTCTAAAGGGGGCGGTATTGATAAGTGTCCCACATTGGAAAATGAGAGGGATTTGGGCCAATATATAAGTAAGGGTCAAACCTCCACTCTTAAGCTAGCTTTTGTGGTGGAGTTAGGGCCTAAACCTTATTACAATCATCCTAAATCATGTCTATTTCATTTATCCATGGGCCTCTAATATTTTAGGCTTTATTCTAATTCTCTGCAGCCTGATATGCACCTGATTGTTTTCTTCAGGTTGCTTTTCTTCGGTATACTCAACAGTGGAAGAAGAAATTTGTGTTTGTCCTGAATAAAACAGATATCTACCGCGATGCCCGTGAGGTTTAGTTAAGAATGCATGCTGTTTATATTTCATCATTTACTGATTGTTTACTGCAATGTTTTGTTCTCTTTCATGTCTGACTCAGAAAAAATGCTGGATTTGTTGTTGAGCCTGTTTTATATTTTCTGGTACAGCTTGAGGAAGCTATTTCGTTTGTGAAGGAGAACACTCAGAAGTTGCTCAATACAGAAAATGTGATATTATATCCAGTATCTGCACGGTCTGCCCTTGAAGCCAAGTTGTCAGCCACTACATTGGTCGGCAGAGACTATCTAGAGGTCTCGGATGCCGATTCTAATCATACATCTCATAGCTTCGATGAACTTGAAAGGTTCCTTTACAGCTTCCTAGATAGTTCATCCACTTCTGGGATGGAAAGAATAAAGCTTAAACTGGAGACACCAATTGCAATTGCTGAGCGTCTTCTTTCTTCTGCTGAATCTCTTGTGAGGCAAGAGTGCGTATCAGCTAGGCAGGATTTGGCTTCAGCTGACAAAATTATTGATCGTACTAGAGATTACGCTATCAAGATGGAGAATGAGAGCATCTCATGGAGAAGAAAGGCACTTTCCCTGGTATACTTTTGAGTAAAGATATTCCTCGAACTCGAATTTTGCAGGAGGGATTCAGAAATATTGTTCTATATGGTATTTTATTTGTTTATTATCCTTTGAATTGAAATGCAGATTGATACTGCCAGATTACGCATTGTTGAGCTCATAGAAGCTACCCTACAGCTATCAAAGCTCGATCTTGTCTTTTCTTACATGTTTAAAGGGGAAAGTTCTGCCACACTAGCTGCTTCATCAAGAGTTCACAATGAAATACTCGCGCCAGCTCTCTCTAATGCTCAAGTAAGTTGTTGTTCTTAATCTAGGAATTGTTGTCTATCTGTGAGCTATCAATAATATTTTAAAGACCTTGAGTTACAGCATCTGTTCATGCATTAATTAGATACGTTTGCCTATCCCCTTAGCCATTTAGTTAGCCTTCTTTTTCATAGTATTATGTTGAAGGGGCTAGACTTTTGGTAGCTAATGTAATACCATTTACTAAGACAATTCCTTCTTTATTATTATGTTATATTTCATCCCTGTATGTAATGCTGCCTTTTAGAAACTGGTTCTTAGGACTAAGATTGTAGAGTAATTATTATATGGACTGCTTCTGACCCTTTAACCTGATACCTACTCTCTAAGATCTTTATGTTTGTAACATTGATAACAACATTTTTAATAATGTACATGATTTCAAAGCTCCGATCAGTTACACTTTATAGAACTCTAGCTGTGTTGATAATCCCATTTCTTTCCTAGGATGATGTCAGACTATGCCTTCAACAAACTTATTGGTCATTTGGTTTTGTTTGGGTGACAAACATTAGTATCAATTGAGATTATACTGACCACTTATTATTAACAGATGACTTCTATGTAATTGTCTCGCATGTATGTGTTATTAAGATGTGACTTATGTTCATTTGATTTTCAAGTTTCAACTCGCTTTAGCCTTCTTTGGAGAGGCTTCTGACTACTAGAATCAGGCTCTATTATTGGCTATTGACTTTTGCCTTCTATTACTAATGATTGCCTTCTTTCTACTTGGAGATATTGTGAGGATATGTTTGTTGGGTTTTAACATTTTACTAGTGTGCAGGAATTACTTGGAGAATATGTTGAATGGTTGCAGTCAAATAATGCTCGTGAAGGGAGTCTCTCCAAGAAATCATTTGAGAACAAATGGCCAAGATATGTCAATCCAAACGCTCTAGTGGATATGGAGACGTATGACTTGCTTAGGAAAATGGATGAATTCAGCCTGAAAATAATACAGAACTTGAGCACCACTTCCAGCACCACTTCCAAAAAGTTGGAACAAGATATTCGGGAAGTGGTCAGTTTTGTATACTAAAAAAATGATTGCATTTATATAATCAAAGTTTACTAGATTTTGGTGGAGTTTTCGATTTAATCTGTCATTATGGTAGGGTGGTTCCTTTAAGAATAACATTGACCAGTTACTGGGTTTCTATGTTAAAATGCAATTTAAGATCTGAGGAGACACATGTATATTATGCCAGAACCTACTTTCTTTATCTTTTATATCTTTCCAAGTATCTGTTTTATTTAGGCTCTTCAATGTTCAGTTTCAGTTTGATTTCATCTAACCTTTATTCGGTTTCCAGTTCTTTGGGACAGTTGGCGGGCTAGGAGCTGCCGGTTTATCTGCATCACTTCTGACATCGGTGCTGCCCACCACCTTGGAAGATCTTCTCGCTCTTGGCCTTTGTTCCGCGGGAGGGTGATGCTTCTTTTAACTTTCCTTTTCTCCCATTTGTCTCATAGCACCACCCTTTACACCATCTGCCCATTTTGGTTGCTCTTATATCTGATTGTTTTCCTTGCAATGCAAACCAAGATGCTTTCTGATATTTTGGATACACGGCACAATAAATCTAAGATGCTCTATATGACAGGTATGTGGCGATATCAAATTTCCCATCTCGTAGACAGGCTATAATTGATAAGGTGAACAGGGCAGCTGATGCGTTAGCTCAACAGCTCGAAGATGCCATGCAGAAGGATCTCTCCAGGGCTATGGTTAATCTAGAAAACTTTGTGGATATAATTGGCAGACCATATCGAGAAGAAGCTCAGCAAAGACTTGATCGACTTTTAGGCGTCCAAAAAGAATTATCAGATATTAGGAGTAAACTCCAGACTCTGCAAGTTGAAATTGATAATCTTCATGTATCACAAGATGAGATGAAACTTTAGCTAGCAAAACCATATCGATTTTGCCCTTTTTGAAATCGTTGAAGGGGGGACAGTGTATGTGCACTTTGTCATAATCAATAAGATCTTCAGTTACCACTTTGATTGGACTTTTTTTGATTTATCGGGTGTAAACCCGGCTGGCAGGAGAGGCTCCTGAAAATACCAAGCAATTGCATCATGTGCATTTGACACTGGTGCGTTCTTGAGTTTAACGGCAATAGGGCTCTTCTAATAATCATTATTGTTTTGAATAACATTCATCTTCTTTCTCCCTTTTCAGATTTTCTGGAGCAAAGGGCCTGAGATGTTTGAAAGTCAGGAGCCTTAATGGAGGTCTATCTCCAATTCCAAGTACTTGCTTTACTCGGCCTCTTCCATATATTTTTTTTATTTTCTTAGTTTTAGATGTAAGGCTTCGGAATCCAGGAAAGCTTGAAAACATTTTTATTCATTTGACTTTAGAAGAGCATCAAAATTTCGTAGTTAATTTACTAATCTTTTGACCTCAAACTTAAATATAGGAAACTCATAAGCATAGGTTTCCCTTGGGAGTAATTCTTGGCATATGCTTGCTATCCTATCTAAAGGTAAGCATAAAACTTTCTTTTCTGAGAAAGGATTAGCTCTAAAAAGTTTTTAAAATCTGATATTAGCGGAATAAACATAGTTAGTGCTCAACAATGGAGATAATTAGAATAACATTATGATTAATAATATGGAACGTACTGTTTTTGTAAAGTTTAATGAGAGGTCCCTTTAGTATTATTAATCGAAGTTGCAACATAAGCCAATGACATGTGTTTGCTTGGTAACCCAATCTTTTTGTTTAAAACAAAGAGAGGGAATACTAAGCCTGGTCAAAAGTTAGGGAAAGGAAATGCCAGTTGAGATGTTTGTGTAAGCCTGAATGAGATTCCACCTTCTTTGTAAAGTAGAATAGACAAAACATATTAAAGGGGACAATATACAACTAGTGAATTCTGAGAGAGTGTGTGTGTGTGTATATATATAAACAATTTAAAACTTCAAAGGACCTAACTTTGTATTTTCTTTTGGGTTTGCGGCCAGCAATTGGATTGTGGTGCAAAGAAACCCCTTTTATTTTTTTGGTTTCCTTGTTTCTAAGCTCCTCTTCTCCTGATTGGTTGGACAAGCTAAAGCAGCAAAGCAAAAGACAAAGAGTAGGGCCTAGGAGCAAAATTTGATGGTTACGGTTTATGAGAGAGAAAAATAGGGTACATATTCTTGTCAGCTTCACTAATATATAGCCTACTCTATACATATTTTACGTCAGCATAGACCTCCTAGAAATTCCATTGTTCTGGGGCATGGAATGTCTGCATTAGTGAAAAAGTTTTCATGACCTGTTTTAGAAACTCGTTTTGCAACCTTAGCTTTAAGTACGGTTCCGCGTTTAGCTTCGTTGTCTCAAAATCTTAATAGATCCTGGCCGATGTTACCTTTGGATGATATCATTTCGAATGATGAGATGCCATAATGCATGTGAATGGTTGAGACAAGGGTATGTCTCAGTCAATCAACAATCAATTTCTGTTGTGTGACCCACACCATATTATTTGTTCTTTGGGAGGATCCCACTGCGATTTCCCACCTACCATTGGTTCTGGCTCTTAAGCAAATTGTGCTAGATCGTCGACACGATGTAGAGATGGAACATATCCCTTACTTGACATGACTCGGTTTCCATTAGAGTGCGTATGCATAACAGGAAAGTTCACCATGTAATTTTCTATATGCTTGGCTTGTGAATCTATGATTGATCCTTTTTTTACCGAATTGTTGTATATTGAGTCTTGCAGTGAGTGTCCTAACAATTACTACTAGGAAACTGTACTTGTCGAAAACACAGTCTGAAGGGTTTTGAGTAGATTGCCTGAAGAAGAAGCATGCTTGTGTAAAACTCCTTGTTCAGCTCCTGCTTTGGATGTGTTTTACTGCTTATGTTTCCGAATCTCACAACATGGGGCTTGTCTCAGATTGATTTGAATCTCGGCTTATGATGATCAGATTTTACGGTAGCAGCTCCTCGCGTCGGGGAAGAAGCAAAATATCCACAGGTGATTTGCAGAAAACTCAAATCTCTCTGTTATACATACAGATGTAGCATTTGGGAGTTCAATAAGGGCTTGGATTGGGATGCAGATGATGGAAATGAGGGATGATGTGAAGTATGAACATGTTATGGAGTGTCCGTACGCTCTTTTATTCATGTCCTCACGGTTAGCAAGTGGGTATTCGGTGTGTTGGTCCCAGGAGGTTTTTTCCAATTCAATTATTTGTTTTTTTTTTTAAAAAAAAAATTGCACCAATAGGGGGCAGTTTGGTCATTCTGTTAATTGTTATTTATTTAATATATTTATTTTTGCGTAATTTAATTGTTTGTTCTCATTCCCAAAGACTCGTAAGGCGTTGCTGTCGTTAGGTGATTCGGGAGTGGTTGGATCACTTCACGATGGTACGGATCCGTTGTCCGCTTGTACTTTGATGCAACCGATTTATGTTCGTTTAGAGACCGTTTCCAAGTGTGATTATTTATGCCCTCTCACTATCCATTACAAAGCTCATGTAATTCCTCCATATCTAAGTTTTCTCGTACGTACGCTTGCTTGTACGGATTGACGGATTATGTCGAGTGTTTTAATTTTCCGTACGACCCTTTTGATAGTAGATTCGGTGTATATATAAGAACTTGTCTTGGATTATGTACATTGTACGGTCTACAAGTTGATGAGTTAGTGGAACTCTGTTTTACAAAGTCTTTATTCTTTGCCAAATTAGATTTATTTCTGGGCAAGTCAATTTTTTTTTTCTATATTCTGGAAGTTCATCAACTATTTGGTTCAATTACATCTTTCAAAAAATCGGGTAAATATAGTGAATTCTTCTCCCAACGTTTTGACTTGAATCCATGATTTGCATGTTTTATTATCATTAATTCATCCAAATTATTTTACATATGATATCGATTTTGTTTTACAATTATATTATTTGGAAATGTTATATTGTGCGGCAGTGTATTATAAATTTTTACGGGGCTGCAATTGGAGAAGGGTAAATTACTGTATATATATACACATATATATGTGTGTGTGTGAATCAATAAGAATACTTATTGTAACGAAAATACGAAGAGGATATATTAGGTTTTTTAAAATTTAATGCTGTAAAAAATAGGTAGAAAGATTAACGAATACTTACTTATTGGTTAAATTCATGGGGAGAGGGAATAATAGGTTGGCGTTGGCGAGCCATTAAAAATACTCATTAGGCACTCTTTCACCAACACTTTCTCTTCCATATTGCGAATATACGTTTTCTTAAAGTTTTTTTTTTTATTTTTATTTTTCAGAGCGGTGGGTTTTTACGGACTACAAATACTACGGAGGAAGTACCTATATATATATATATAATTCAACGTGATGATATACCAGTTGATATTATATTAATTTTTTGATAATACCTGGTGTTTCTTATATTATTTATGTTTATTCAACATCGTTTTTAATTAATATGTGCATACTTTTTTTTCAAAAAAAATTCTAATAGATATCAGAACAAAAGGGTTTGATAATTTTGTCCTAGCCTATGATAGAGAAGAAGAAAAAAAACTGAAAATTGGAGATAAATTAAATAAATCGGGGAATATAAATAAAAAAATAAAGCCAAAGAATGGAAAGATCAAGGGGGGGAGGGTCTATAAATAGAAGCCAACTCCTCGCCACTTCCCATTCACACTTCATTCATGCCCTCTTCTCTTCCCTCTTACCCAAGCAACCATCCTTCGCCAACTCTCTCTCTCTCTCCATCCATCATCTGACGCACAAAGATGTCCATTGCTGGTGATCCTCAAGCTCCGCAACACAGTCACGGTGTCTTCAAATCGAACAGCCTTAAAAATGGGGAAGTGGGTGGTTGGAGTTTCCTGCGATCTCTGTCTGAAATCTCTGGCATTGCCCGAAACAGAGGAGACACTGACACTGACACTGTCTACGTTCACCCATCTTCTAAGCGTCCTAAGCTCAGCGACAAGAGCTTAGAAATGTGCACGGAGAGGCTCGGGAGTGAAACGGGAAGCGAGAACGGGGACGACATCTCTTTCCTTGCGGTCGAAGCGACTGCGACTCTGGCTCTGGTTCCTCCTCCGAAGCCCCGAGATGGAAGCTTTGCGACGGAGAGGCCGTTGGTGAGTCGCAGCAACAGCTTTCCTCCGCCGTTAAACTCCGTACGAGGATCGAACCGTAGTCGAATGGTGCGTTCTTATAGCGAAGACGGCCGTCTGGTTGTAAGGGCCATCACGGTTCGTTCTCCGCCTCGTTGCTTTGTAGCAGAACGCAGCGAAGGAAGGCTTCGGCTCTGTTTCTCGGAGCCTTCATTGCTCGATCATCACTATGAGGAACCTGAAGAAGGAGAAGAAGAAGAGTTCAACGTCAAATCCTTTGAAGAAGAAGAAGGGGAAGAGGAAGAGTTCAACGAGATGGAGGAGGAAGAGGAAGAGGAAGAGGAGGAGGAGGAAGAGGAGGGCATGGAGGGAAATACAGAGAACATGGAGGGCAAAATGAGAAACAAGAAATATCGGAGGCCCAGTAGCAGGTGCAAGGAAAGTGGGCATGACCCTAAACCCATGCTTAATTGGAAGCAGCAATTTTGGGTGGCCACTTGACCCGATTTTCCACGTCATAATTTATAATGTTATCTCCCGTTTTCTATTTCAAATATTTTCTTATTTGCATTTTATTTTTCGGGTTTCACAGTCACAGCCCTTCCCATGTAAAAGGTTGATGATGTAATACGCTTTCTATTTCTATGATAAGGAAATGGGAGTTATTATAGTTATGTTTATATATGTATGTATGTATGACAAGTAGGAGTATGGATACATGAGATACATGTATGTATGTATGTATGTACGTATGTATGATGAATGCTAAAGGGTAATAGATCATTACATGGTCTTTGCCCCACTCCCACATGATCATCACATGCACACTAACTATATATTTCTTCTTTTCCTTTTTTTTTTTTATTTTCTCGATTTAAGATTCTGTTTCTGAATTCTCTTGTACGAAGAGATTCTCCTTTTTCATTCGCAGATATGACTTGTATTATCCTGTCGTGTGTTCATATTATATCAAGGGTGTATATATATATTGTGGTTAGTCAAGATATCTTGTATGTTGGATAAGCAGATGCATAAGACATCATTATGTCCATATGTCTGTGACCCTTTATGTCACATACACTGCCAGTTCACTCATTTTCATCAAATCAACTATATACACCAATACATATACTACCCTTTTGCCAATATATATATATATATATATATATAACTAAAATATGTACAACAGCTTTACTAACTAAAAAAATCAGTGTTATGTTTATGACAATTTAACCGAAGAAAAAGAAAGATAGAAAGAAAGCCCATGGATCTAATTCGGTGAGTTTATTATACAAAGTCATATATATATATATATATATATATATATATTGTTTCTGAATTCTCTTGTACGAAGAGATTCTCCTTTTTCATTCGCAGATATGACTTGTATTATCCTGTCGTGTGTTCATATTATATCAAGGGTGTATATATATATTGTGGTTAGTCAAGATATCTTGTATGTTGGATAAGCAGATGCATAAGACATCATTATGTCCATATGTCTGTGACCCTTTATGTCACATACACTGCCAGTTCACTCATTTTCATCAAATCAACTATATACACCAATACATATACTACCCTTTTGCCAATATATATATATATATATATATATAACTAAAATATGTACAACAGCTTTACTAACTAAAAAAATCAGTGTTATGTTTATGACAATTTAACCGAAGAAAAAGAAAGATAGAAAGAAAGCCCATGGATCTAATTCGGTGAGTTTATTATACAAAGTCATATATATATATATATATATATATATATATGTACACAGAACTATTGATTAGAGTAATTTAAGATTATTGTAACACACGTACGAATATATTACAAGAAAAGCATATATTAAAAAACTTGGACCGTGTGAGAGCTCGAGACGACATGGATGATATCACGAGATAGTGGCAAAGGACTGCAAAAAAAAAAAAAAAAAAAAGAAGTGTGAAAAATACGAACCAGTGAGAACTCGACAAGTGAAAATGGAGTGTGCTGTCTCATTCCAATTATTTATATATGTAACAAAAAAAAAAAAAAGGTTCTCTTACCCACTTGATGCTTACAATTGACTCCACAAGCTTTGCATTCCAATCCTCTTTGTGTTCCACCTTCCCTTTTTTTTTAAAAAATAATTTTGATTTTCCATGTATGTACACTTATATATATATATATATATATATAAATGAACAGTTATATATATGTACAGTTATAATTAACTTGGGCATATTTTCAATGTCTGTTTTTTTAATCGTACAATGATTGGTTATGGATCGGATTTGGGAATGAATTGTTCAAATCCCGAAATTTATATTAAATTTATAAAATAAACATAGGTGTGAAAATCCTGTGGTGAATTGTATTGTAAATGCACTATTCATTAGTCAAAATGTGCTTGAACAAAATATCTTATACATTACAAGAAAAAAAAAACAAGTATTTTTATTTTTATTATAAAAAAAGAAGAAAAACCGCATATATAATTAAAAATATTACAGCCATTATTTTATTTCATTGTGGATGCAAGCCCAAACGTAGAGGAATCCAAACAATGGGCCACACATGGGCCGCAGTTGGGCCTGACCAGATGTCAATGTTTTTACCCTTTGCATTATAACTGTCACGCTCCAAGCCAACAGCCCCCCGCCTCTCCACCGAAGCGGCGGATACGGCGGCCGGCGGACGGCGGCGGAGGAGAGGTGGTTGGATTCAACGGAGGCGCCGGAAGAGACAGTGTTGTTACAAATAGCATCTTATCTCGCAAGAAAATTTTGAAATTTAAGGGGAAAAAAACACATGCAATTTGTCAAAAAATTTAGTTTCCCATCTAATTAAAACACACAATTTGCCAAAAAAATACTACAATTTCAGTCAAAGATTTTAGCTTATTACTTTATTAGTAATAGTTACCCATATTTAATTTATATCAATTAAAATAATAATTGGTTTATTACGCACTTGAAATTATGAAAGTAAGGTTATTAATAAATCTCCCTCTAGTGTATACACTAAGGGGAAAGAAAAGATAAATCTCTCGCCTTTTGTTGGGCGGACTGTTCTTCCCCGCCTGCCGATTTTCGAAATCGCCCATTTCACAAATCCATCGAGCTTCTGATCAAATGGAAATGGCTGAAGGTGAAGGAAGTACGGAGGATCACTACATCGACGTCGATACCTCCGCTATTTCCCTCGGTGGCTCTGTCGTCTTCCATGTCATCAACGACGCCGTCGGCTTCGTCCTCTACATGCATCAGCAGATCCCTTCGTACATTCTTCTTCTTTTACTTATTTGATGCTCGATTTTGTTTTCGATTACCGATTATTTTTTTTTTTCTGCGGATTTGCTTGCCTTTCCAGTTCGATTTGCCTTGATTGCTCTGAAACCCTGGCGATGCGAAATTAGGGGTTTTGCGATGGGTTACTGTGAATTTGGACATGCATTCATGGCAGTGAGTTATTTTGCATTATGGCGAAAAGTGAAAAGCTTGGGCATTCTTCTGCATTGACCAAATCATTTACGATTTTGAAATTAAGAATTACGACCGAGAAATATGTTCCTTTCTTTCTCCTGGTTTTGGCTGATTTTCATGAAGAACTGTTGGCATTACTTTGGATCTTCTTGTCTGACGCCTAGATTGATCATTTGTTATGCTACTTTTTAGTTGGTTTTAGAAATTAACTAAACGTTACTTTATGATCTTGAAGACTTCCTGTGAGTATTAGTAGGCGAGCGTGAACTAGACTTTTCACAAGCTTTAATCTTTTGTTGTGGATTTTGGATAGTTCTCTTGTGTTGACTGATTTTACAGTGATTTTCCAAGCTGCACGTTGAAGAATGACAAAACTTAATTCTGTCGCTTAAAGCTCTCACTTGCAGTGTATTGCAGGACATGAGCCTTGATTTTGATGAGCTGCAATCAGAATACAAGGAGTTGGTATGTTAGTTGTGCATATGATGTTTTTCACTGTGTCATTTATGCCGTTTTAAACTCTTAAGAATCATAGGTTATAGGAGGGGAATCTTGCACAACCAGAACTAAAGCCACTGGTCAGAAGAAAAATCATGAGTAGAAAAAGGGAGATCAAGCATGAAATCAGGAAATCGGAGAAACTTATGAACACAATATCTAGTCTGAGAAATGCACTGCAGCTAATGATCTGCGAGACTCCGGGCATTCAGAGAGTCATGTTGATTCTTGGTGGGAGTCCACTGCGGCCTCAAAAAGTTTACGAGTTCTTCTTCCCGCACAGGGATAACATCCCCTGCTGCGAAGGCGACTTTGCTAAAAGCAAAGCTGCCGAAGCACTTTCAAGAAAGGTTTATTCCTGGGCTACACGTACTTCAGATTCTTCTTGTCATTTCCTATGATATAATAAATAGGAAAAAAAAGGAGTAACGTGTTGCCATTTTTCTTTCGATAGACTATCCGAGCATTGATTACAATGGGTGCTGGGTCCTGTTCCTGCCCAGGTATTAGTGCACAAAATCCTTATCTTCTTACATGCATGGTATTCTCATTGGGCATTCAGTGTCTGCTTGTCAGGTGAAATGATGTTACAGCTGATCCTTTTTTTTTTTCTTTTGTTGGATTGCAGGTCCTATGAAACTCTTCATATTGGTTCTTGCTCCACCCTCTTTGAATCTGCCCCACCACTTTCTTCCTAAACGCGACTTCAGATACAACAAAAAGGTAGGAAAATGACTAACTCTGTTATCTCTACATATGTCACATGTCAGTTGTCACCTCTGCCTCCAACTAATCCGGAGAGGTGGAAAATATGCACAAATTCGGGAGGGGGATTTATATTTAGTGATCGGAAGCCGTGTTTATTTACACACTGAATTATCGTCTAATCAAAACTTGATGCTGGATGCAGCAGGTTCACATTTTGGTTAACAAATAGGATAACCCTTTTTGTTGCAGATTGTGCCTCTAAGGTTGAGATTGAAGTGTATAACACAAGAGAGGGCAACCGAAACTCCTTTGAACTCTGCTACAAATGATCTAATATGGTATGCATACCCTCATTTATAACATTTTAAACCACCGATTGGAATGTTTTCAATCTCCTGCTATCATCCAACGTATAGTGTTCTTTTTTTCATTTTTAAAACTTTGGGAACAATTACAGTCTAAGAAAGAGGGTTTCTTGGACAGGTTCCAGTGTCGACATGTGATAAAGGGCCTAGCTTTCCAGACACCGGAAGAAGAATGAGACTGATTTGTGTCCTGTAGTTATCTCGGCATT